GGGGGGGGAGAGATCTTAAAACAAGGCATAGAAGACTTAGAACCCAATCCTTGGCACGGTTATGGAGAAGTAAATCCCATTGAACTCAGTGCACTTACTCCCAAAGGATGCACAGAACAGCAGCCTTAGAATTCTATATAAAAACGGGTTGTAGAGGAAACATGAACGGCTGTACTCCGCAATAGATTTACTTGTGAGTAAGGCGGCGGGAGTTAATGCGAACCACTACATGCTACATACAACAAAAGGCGGCATAAACGTTACTTGGAACCGAGAGGGAAAACTGGGTCGTCGTCCCCCCCCCCCCTTAAAAAGATGGTTAAAGCACAGCCGAGCTGGACCTGAGCTCTGTATTGGGAACAAGTTTACTCCCTTTTCCTGTTTTTGCTGTGTTCCGTGGTGCTCAGCAGGGTCAGTGTGACGCGAAATGTGTTTCTTTCCTCTCTCCTTTCCATTTTCTTTTCCTCTCCCAGGCAACCCGAAGGGCAGCGGCGCGGCGATCGGCTCCGAGAGGACGCCGCCTTTTCTCTCTCAGTCCCAGCAAGACCTGAAGGAAGAGAAAGAGAAGCATTTCCCTCCCAGCTCTCCGACTCCGGGGGACAGACAAAGGGACGGAGCGGACAGGCAGGCCAGCTCGGCCAAAAAGAAGACGCGCACGGTTTTCTCCCGGAGCCAGGTCTACCAGCTGGAGTCCACCTTCGACATGAAGCGCTACCTGAGCAGCTCCGAGCGGGCCTGCCTGGCCTCCAGTCTGCAACTGACGGAGACCCAGGTGAAAACCTGGTTTCAGAACCGCAGGAACAAATGGAAACGGCAGCTCTCGGCGGAACTGGAGGCGGCCAACATGGCCCATGCCTCAGCCCAGACTTTGGTGGGGATGCCCCTGGTCTTCAGAGACAATTCCCTCCTCAGAGTGCCGGTGCCCAGATCCATCGCCTTCCCAGCTCCCTTGTACTACCCGGGCAGCAACCTGTCAGCCTTACCGCTTTATAACCTCTACAACAAGATCGACTATTGAACGTACTTGCCCAGAGCGGCGGCTGCTGCTGACCCCCGCCTCACTGTATAGCCGTCGACCTGACCTTTTCTTAACCCGCCCGTCTGTTATTCATAGGAAAGGAGAGAGATGTGCTTCTCGCATTGTTAAGAAATACACCATGTGTATTTTTATTATTATTATTTATGGGAATCCTGTCTGGGTCGGTTTCCTTTTGCTTCTTTTCTAGGTTGGCATAGAGTGTGTTATTATCCCCTCCCCCCTGGTTTTGTCTTCATTCCTTCCAGACATAAGTGACTTTCTGACCCTGACCAGGACTTAACAAACCCCTGCATTTTAACTCGTATTTAAATAACCGCGCGAGTCTGCGTGCGCAGGTAGGGAATTCCAAGGGCGCTTTTGAACAGTCTGCCTTTTTTTTTTTTTAATAACCTTTTCCCTCCTTTCCACGGTTATTTTTCTCCTTAAGTATTATATCTACGGGAAATAAAATTTAAAAGAAAGCATATTTCAGATCTGTACATATTTTTAAAGGAAAAAAAATAAAGCATTTTAAACACCGTTGGTAACTTTGACTTAGATTTTGCTCCTGTGTTTCAGTCTTGGCGTCTTTTCGCAGATTGTATATTTGGGTATAGGTATGAGAAGCGGGCTGCGTCGGGCCACGGTGGCCTCCGGATGAAGCTGGAAAGTTGGACGGGGGAGCAGAGTTTCGCCTGCGCGACGGAGGCTCTTTTTTATTCTCCGGGGCCACGGACTCGGCAACATCTCTCTAGCCGTGGCCCTTCCCTACAAACATTGCAGCAAAACCGGCCGAATAGTAGGTAGGGCTTTAGTCAAAACAACACTGAAATACTGAGCAATTGGTATGACCTATGCGTGCCTGAAACGTGTAGTCTCATGCCACGTGGGGTGCACTTTACCTCCATGTATATTGGACCGGGCTGGGGGGGGGGGAGTGGGAAAAAACTAGCACATGCCTCTTTTCTATCACGGTGTTTGACCGTGTTTTCGTTTGGGACCGAAGGATCAAGAAGGCTCCTTTTAGTTCTGCAGTTCGTTTCATCCGATATAATTTATTTTAAATAGGCCCTTAAAATAGTTGATCTAAGAGGCCCTTAAGTCAGATCCTCAGCACCTGTAAATCCTGTGGATTTCATCTCTCCCCAAGTTTGTTTCAGGGTTCGTGGGAAAAATCAATTCTAAGAATCGATTCTGAGAACATCTTCCGAACCTCTCAGCAGACCCGACCGCAGGCATCTCTGTTGGGAAGTAAATCCTGTTGGATTCAAAGAGGCTTGCTGCTAGTAAGCAAGTGTGCAGACTGCAACCTCAGTTGGAAGCAGTATCCTTGGAAATCAATAGCGTTTGCCGCTGGAAGTCTTAGCTGGTTTAAATGGGAGAGATCGGTTTTGGACCGGACTTTTTATAACCACGCTACGTGAATCGCATCCAGTTCATTGATATTAGTTACAGCGCCGCATTTACTTCGGTGTCCTCATCATAAAACCACAGATGGGGCACATTGTCCTCCTCCTCCTCCTCCCGCCACCCCCTCATTAAAATGAATGGGAAAGTATAATCTATGCAGCAAACCCGGGTAAAGCTTGCAAATGTCAAACGCATTCGGAGCAAAGGAGCTCCTGTATATAGTTATTTGAAAAGAAGATGAACGTCCTTTATTAAGTGATCCAAAGTGACAAGTGTTTCCGGGAATGGGCTTTCTTCCTAGGCTGAGGTGTATTCTGGTAAATGCCACTATCACGCGCAAAGTACCTTCGCCGGCTCCTTTTTAAAAAAATAGAAATGTGACATTATAACCGAGCCGTGATTGATCTGAACGTTCATCCCGGCGCTGAGAAACACCTGCAGCCTCGGATGTGCCGAAAGGAGGAAGCGAATCGTTTAAACAAAAAGTAAATACTTCATCAAGTGTTATTTAAATTGCGGGCGCCGTTATGTGGTTTATCACAGCCACCTGTTCCTTAGTTGCAGGAACTTTCTAGAGAAGGCTATTTAAAATGCAATAAGTAACTACAATCCCGCTAAAATTACGTTTACGATGTTGTTTAAACGGAGAATGGGGATTACACCCCATATGGCCCTTGTAAATAACAAGCTCGGGATACGTCTTTTTCCCGCAAAAGAATATCTTAGCCATTATTCTGAAACCATTTGCTCAACAGGAAAACAGAGATACTTCAGAGTAAGTACATGAAAGCACCTTATCACAAAAACAAATGCTCCTGGGGTTGTCTTAAAAGCGCCACCCTTCCATTTATAAAAGGCACATAGACATAAACTAGGAAATAGCTTATTTACACTTCACATTAGGCAAATTCTACTGAAATCTGTGAAATTTCCGTGAAATTTTGCTTTAAGATGGAATAAGTCAGTAGTTTCTGAAGATTGGTATTTGCCCAAGGTTTTTAAAAAGTAGGTTCTTTAGGATATCACTCAATCCTAAACGCCCTGTGTACTGTCAGTCATTTTATTGGACTTCATGTACAGACTTACAACTGGTTCTCCCCCACACACACACTGCTGGTTTATAAAAAAAGAATAATAAATATTCCTTTTTAAAGGAATTACTATTTCCTGCTTTGTTGTATCACTCGGGGTTTTCTATGTAGCTGTGTGTTAACCAGAACAGCTACAAAGCAGCTGACTGGTGCTGAAGTGGAATTTCAGTCCACAGTCCATGTTCATTTCAGTCCACGTTCATTTCAACATTTCAGGGCAGACTGGCCACAGTTTGCAATTCTATACAATTTTAGCTGGGAACAAACCTGTGCTTATTTCTGAGTCAAAGTCCACACGCCCAAGATTGCGTTGGCGCACTACAGCACATGGAATCATTTGTTCACAGGGATTTGTTTTACTGGGGCAGGGATGGCAGCTCCTCCACCAATCTCGACCTTACCGTAGCATCGGTTTAAGTAGGGCAAGGGACCTTATTCGGCATTGCAGGGTAATTCCCCAGCACTACAGATAGTACAGCTGATCGGTCCTACATACTGTTGTATTATCTTAGCCAACCACATCATAAGATATTTTAAAAGTCCCTTGTAGGCCACCAGTGATAGATAGCTGAGAGACAGACTATTTGTAAGAAAGCCCATTCATAAATAAGTTTATGAGGGCAGAAGACATCCCGGTGGCCTGGAATGGCACAACAGAGTGGACCTCAGAGGAAGTTAGTCCTATTTCCTTCTTTCCCTCTCCTTTGGACCTGTTAGGTTCTTCTGTGAATGCTTGTTTGGAGTTAAGCTGTCTTTCCCGCAAGGTGAATAGATTAAATGTGTATAGCCACAGCAGTCTGTGTGATACCCTCTTCCCAAAACTTTTGCCAACTTGCTACTGTATACATACAAGGCCTCAAAATCTATAAAAGGACCATTTTATATTTATTTCAGGCTGAACCGAAACCAGTGGACATAAGAACATGGGGAGCAAGCCTAAATTGGTCTATTCAAAAGACCCATTTTGTGCGGTGGGCCTTACTCCCAGGAAAGTGTTCTTAGGACTGCAGCCATGATCTCCTTACGAAAAGACTGGGCATCAAAGTGATCATTTGTTACATGGAAATACATTAATGGAAAGAGCTGTTGCATATGTGCATTTAAGTAGGGGCAATAGGTGTGTACAGAATAAAATCTGGTTTATAGAGGAGGTGGAGCAGAAGACAGAGCATTCAGTGAGCATTTCTTGTTGCAGTTCTGCACACACTTTCTGTGGAGCAGAAGACAGAGCATTCAGTGAGCCTGCCTATTACTTTTTTTCTTGTTGCACTTCTGCACACACTTTCTAGTAAGTAAGGCTCACTGATCTTAATAGGACATACTATTCAGCAGACATGTTTAGGATTGAACTGGAAAAGTAATTCCTGTTGAAATCAAGGGAACTTCTGACTACCTCGGGCTCTAAATATGCTCACGATGGTTCATACAACAGCATGCAATAAGGGAAAGGTGCCTCAGAGCCAGGGGTCATTTCCTGCAGGAGTGCACAGGAGCGGAGCTCCGACAGTAAAGAGCCCAGGTGGCGGGCACATGCAACAAGCCCCACCCCCTACTCCCAGCAGTCCTCAGTGAGAGCAAGAAGCAGCCAGGTAAGTTGCAGAGCCCCACCCCCACGGCACGGCCCCAAACAGTCCAGTGGCACCTTTACGACCAAGTTTTATTCAGGTGCAAGCTCTCCCTCCTCTACGAAGACAGATCTGCATGTTCCCCCCCCCCAATAGCTAGCAATCCAAAACGGTCCAGCAGAGCCTGAGCAGTGGGTGTTGCCTTCTGACACACTTCCAGTGATGTCAGGGGGTGTGGCATATGCAAATAAGTTATCCTAATGAGTTATGCTATTGAGCTCCTGCACCTCTTTTTCTACAAAATGACCCCTACTCAGAGCCCTATATCCTATTCTAGATGGAGAAGGGGGGAGGTGTCTGTTCAACAACTCCCAAGGCTTGGATCTGATCCTAGATTTAAGTTTGATTCAGAAGCTGGATAATAAAACCTAGTCCTTGTGATATATATATATATATATATGCACCTTTAAGTTAGCCCTTAGAACTAGTTTCTGTTTCCCTCATCAAGGCCAGTATCGGAGGGGCCTCATGTAATATTCTAATACCCACCTATGGTCCCCATCTGTGGATAGCTAAATCTGTGGATCAGGGCCACATGGAGGCTAAACAGATTTTTCAGCAAACTTGGGACACTCCCCAGATTTGCAAAAAAAATCTGAAAATTAAAAAAATACACAGGTTGGGGGTTAAAAAGTGTTAGAAGTGGAGGACATGGCGCTGTCTCCTGTCTCAGACTTGAGAAGATGGCACCAAAGAGTTTAGACAGATAGAGAGGTTAGGACACACAGAGCATCCTTCCTTCCTGCTATCTGATCCTTTCTTTTGAAGTAGAATGCTACCCTTAAGGGCAATTTCCTCTGCTTCCGCTCCCACTCTCTCCAACTCTCTCTTCTCTCCTCCATGCACGAAGAAGGTGCTTGATCTCCATCTTGCA